GAATTTGAGGAAATCCACTCCTAAGGGGAGGAGAGGGGTATAAATAAAAAAAATCTGTTTTTGAACTATTTAATCTATATACTTGGCATTTGGTAATCATGTTTCTTTTGTTGATTATTGATTCGCTGTGAACGGGGTTATCTGAAATCGACTTACAAAGGGTGTTGTAAGAGGTTCCGGAGGTTTTACTGATAAAAAAAATAGTTTTTGAACTATTAGATCAGTGATTCTCTCAACCTCTGCGCACGGCACTTGATTGTGACACCAAAATCCTGAAGTGTGCCACCAATTTTCTTAAATATTATTAATAATACTCTGAGAAAAAAAATCCAGAATCGAATCATTTGTCCGTTTTACAGAAACAAATTAAGGGTATTTGTGGTATATTTAATTTATCCTTTCTTGGATAGATGGATATAAAAAATTTAATTGGATTCGTAATCCATTTGTGATAACAGATACATGTGTATATGAATTAACTTTGGATGAAGAGGAAAAAACTAATTTCGTTCTGTATTAATTGAGATCTAATTTCAAAACATTCAGAAGAGTCACTTAATTCAAATTGGATTAACATTAGAGGCGTTATCTCATAATAGTCAAAAATGCTTTCAAATGTTGTCACAATTTCTACATCTTATTTGCGTGAATTTGAACTTTCAGCATTACAAATAAACAAGATATCAATCATTGGCATGGCCAAGTAATTTTAGCGCGTTTTTCACATGTATTTTACAATAATGCAACTAATGAACTTTTTACTAACAGAAAGTAGTACTGTACCACTCCTCTAAATGTACTACTATTGAGCTGAAAAGAAATAATGACACAAGTCTGTATCAGTACTATAAAAAAGCAAAAAACTAGCGAAATTCAGGAAAATTTGTAGGAAAATTTGGGAAAACTATGGGAAAATTTAAATATGATTAGGTTCATCTAGGGCACAAATGCGACCAAATGCCGAAAACCCGAGGTCAATTGGTTGCTTATTGGCTGAGAAAAAGGTACGAAAAAATATGGAACGAAGACACAGACGAAATTTGCGTCCTAATAGCGCTTTTGTCCCACTACGTGAAAAACGCGCTAAAAATGGAAAGAAGATCGAGACTTTTAAATGTACATGACAAAATGAGAGTAGCATTATCCTTTTTACGAACGAACATTAACAAAATTATCAAAAATCAACGTCTAATTTCGCGTTAAATGTATTCGCTTTTAATTAATTTGTAATTAAACTTATAAACATGAAATTAACGTTTTATAAATTTAAAAAATAAACTTAATGAACGTTTTATTGTCTTTGTCGTACGTATTTTTTTTATTTAACTTTGAAAAATAAAATTATAATCTATATTACACAGAATACTATAGATAAGTAAAATTCTTTTAAACTTATTTTGCTGTTAGTGTGCCACGAAATTTTGAAAGTGTTTAAAGTGCACCGCAAAAAAACAAGGAATATAAAAAAATTGTTTAAAGTCAATTCCTAATAGTCAAAAAAGAAATTTTTTATTTTAGCTACTTTTTATTAAATAGTTACAATTAATATAAATATGTACATAACACATCACTCAATAAGTCCCGGACCTAACTAATAAAACAACAACCTTTCTGCAAAATTGAACTTTATCAAAATACTCCCCTTCAAGAGTGATACATGCAGTCCAGTGCTCTTCTAATTTTTTAATACCTTTTTCGTAGAACGATTTGTCTTTGCTCTCAAAATAGGCTTCTACTTCAGTTATCACTTCTTCATTTGTACCAAACCTTTTTCCCTGCAGCATTCTTTTAAGATCTGCAAACAGCCAGTAGTCACTGAGGGCCAGATCTGGACTGTATGGTGGGTGGGAAAGTAATTCGAAGTGCAATTAGATCAATTTGACCATTGTTTTCATGGACTTGTGTCACGGAGCATTGTCTTTGTGAAACAGTACCTTTTCTTTTGTATTTGAGGACGTATTTTCTTTATTTTTCATTCAGTTGATCCAATAACGTCATGTAATATTCACTATTAATTGTTTTGCCTTTCTCAAGGTAGTCAAAAAACAAAATCTAATGAGCATACAAAAATACAGACGCCATAACCTTGTTAGCTGACGTTTGAGTTTTTGGTTGATTTGGACGCCTTTCACTGGCTTCTTTCCACTCGGCTGACGATCTTCTTCATTCAGGCATGTAGTAATGTATCCATGTTTCATCCACTGTCACATATCTACGTAAATATCCTGTTTATTTTGCTTAAATAGCTCCAAACAATACTCTAAATCGTCGATGCGTTGTTGTTTTTGACCAACAGGGAGAAAACGCGGCACCCACTTTGAACATAGCTTTCTCATTGGCAACTGATGATGCAAAACAGCAAATACGCTGCCTTCTGATACCTTTAAATTCTCTTCTATCTCACGCAACTTCAATTAATGATCGGCTAAAACGATTTCATACACTTCTTTGATGGTTTCTGGAAAAACTGCAGAATTTGGGTGACCTGAACGTTCAACGTCGTTTGTGTCTGTACGACCACGTTTTATGTCAGCATACCATCTTTAAACAGTTGTTTGCGATGAAGAAGAGTAAGGATAACATTTATCAAGCCATTGATTTGCTTGAACAGTGTTTTCCCCCATCAGAAAGCAATGTTTGATTAGCACACGAAATCCTTTTCATCCATGGTTTCCAAACAGTTGCCAAAAAAAAAACCACTGTAACTTTATATCTAAACAAGATATTCTCTCGAAATTTTGACACGTCCGTTTGAAAATTAGTACTACGTACTAAATTAGTACTTAAGTAGTGATGTGTTACATATGACAGAATCAAAATATTAAGCGACAAAATAGAAAGAATTTCCTTGCAATAATATATATATATATATATATATATTTATTGATATCTTTCATAAACATGTAGTAGCAGGCAATTTAAATATAATCAAGGACAGAATTTTAAAAGATATCGTGAGTAAGGGCACTAGTTTCAGATTAACAATTTCTAACAACAATAATACCATTAAAAAACAAATTAATAATGATATAAATAATTTTATTACTAAATCTGCAGTTAAATATGATTTGCCTTTAGAGGCATTTGATGAATTTAAGTACAATATTTTAAAAGACCTGATGTAATTTAACTATCATTCTAAATCAGTACTTACTTATAAAGATGTAAAACAGAAGATTTATGATTTATAAAAGAATTTTATCATTGTTTACATAGATAAAGTGCCTGGTAATTATGCTAGCTATAATTTGTAAATATTTTTATAGTAATATGATTAATGAACACTTTTTAAACAATGAATCTTTTAAAAGATTGGATTTGTCGGATAAAGAAATTAATAATAAAATTACTACTATGTATAGAAAATTGTGTGTATCCATTCATAAGATTAAGTTTCCATATATATATTTTTAACACCTAAATTTCATAAAAATCCTGTTAAATTTAGAGCAGTAACAAATGGTTTTAAAACTTATATCACTGCTGCAGGTAAAATGCTGCATAATATTCTACAAGAATTCATCAATAAGCAATGTAATAAAGCTATAATTAAAAATAGTAAAGATATTATAGATTTTTTAAAAATAAAAATATTTAGTTTATAGAGTTATGACTTTGAAGATCTTTTTAATTCCATTAATATCAATGACATAATTAGGGTAATTCTAGATAATCATAAAAATTATAACCTTAATATTAATTAACAAAAATTTAGAACTCTAATAAATTTAGTCTTAAAAGAAAACTACATTTTAATGGTTCTCTGTACAAACAAACCAAAGGTTTGCCTCAAGGTGGCCCTGCTAGCAATAGTTTGGCTAATTTATATTTACACTTTTATGAAAATAATTATATTATTAATAATGATTATTACATATTTAGATGCATAGATGACCTAATTATTTTTGGTAAAAATAATAATTTTAACCCCAATATTAATTTTTAACCGAATTATTTAAAGCTAATTAAAATTAATAGTAATCCAGTTAAAACTAATTACTTGGATGTATCATTATGTATTAAGGATTATAAATTACAAAGCAATATTTATGATTAAAGAGATTTTAATTTTAACATTCTTAAAGTACCTTACTGGAATTCCAACATATCTATATCAATTTATAGAAATATTATTTTCAATTATATTTATCGTAATAACGTATAGTTAGTGATAAATTTAATATATATTTAAATCTTAATAACTTTATTAAACATTGTATGGAACACGGATACCCTCTTAAATTTATAAAAATTTACCTAACAGTTAAATAAAAAAAGTTATTAGTTGTACAGTTTATAGATAGATGGCGCCTCTAGCTAAGTAAATTAACAATATTATATTTTCTTAAAAATTAATTGTATACGTCTGGGTGGTACTTTTATTTTCTACAAAATTTAAAATAAAATATAGGGTTTTTAAATGTGCATATATAGTATTAATGCTATTTTATCAAAACTTAATCATTTTATGCGATACTGTTATTGTCCATAGCCGGGGAATATGGGTTATACTCACGTGGTAAGTCTTTATCTAATAGTTTAACTTTGATTTTAAATATTTTAGTAATTATTACAGGCTATAATATTATCGTTTTACATTAATAGTTTATGGTTTTATTTATAATAATATTTAAAATTCGATAAAAATTTCTTGCTTTCCCTTTGGCCTACAGTATTGGCAAATTCAGGTGAAGGTTAGCTGGCCAAAAAACATTGTTTAAACCTGCATTCCTGGTTCCTAAGGCTAGGAGTTTGCTTTAGTATTTCTGTGGCTAAATCTATTCTATCATGACTATAGTTATCTTAGGTATATAACTATTTTTTGTATATAATATATATATATAAAGAGAGAGAGATATAGAGATAGATGTATTTTCCATTTTCCTTTCTATATATGGTGTTGGACTATTTTATTGTTTGTTTGTCACTATTTTTCATAAATTTAATTATTCTAATAAAATAGTATAGTAAAAAAGAAATCACAATCTTAGAAATTAGGCCATCGCACATGGGATTCGAAACCACGACCTTTGGATTAGAAGTCCAATGCGCTAACCATTGCGCTACAGGGACATAACGAACGATTTTCCTTTCTATATATTCTGTTGGACTATTATATTTGTTTATTACTTTTCTCATTTTTTAATTTAATTAATGAATTAATATTTTAAAAAAACTGTTAACATCAAGTGCCATCCACTACAAGTTTAAAAAATGTATTTGAACTTGAATGGATGAATAGAAATTATTTTATTAATGACTGAAAATTTGAACAATATATATATATATATATATATATTTATATTGAGAGAGTGAACTAATAATAGGAATTGAAAAAAAAAGGTTGAAAATCAGTGCATTAGATCTCTACAGACCTGAAATTTGGTATGCATGTTTCTTTCGTTCAGTAGAAACAAGCCAAGTATGGGTTTTCGGAAATAGACTCTGGGGATGCGGGTGTATGAGGGAGTAAAGAATAAGTATAACGTTACATAAATTAAAGTCCTGACCTTTTAAATCGAGAGGCGAGAGCTACAAGAATGTTTTTAAAATACAACCGAAAGCATAATGCTAGGACTATCAACAATAAAAAAAAACCGTATACAGTCGTACAACGTCATGAAATACACAGCGAAGCGGGTGGGTAACCCCCCGTTAGTAAACCTTATGTAACTCCAAAGTGAGACGATGATAAACAATAAATCTAAATTCTTAAGAAAACAACGGAGTTGCTCTAATCGGATGAATCAAGTTCAAACCTCATTAGCTAGCAAAAAAAAAAATATTCAAATATAATAAAAGCAAAATAACATGCACAGCTAAAATTCTCTTTCGGTGTATAAATACTCTTCTAGGAAGCTGATTGTTAAAACAGTTTGAGATTGGGATTACACAAATATCGATACAAATATACAGAAAAGAAGTGAAAGGAGAAAGCTGGTACAAAGCATAGTTTTCAAAATAATTAGATCCATTGTAAAAAGGAACATTTAAATGAAATATTTGAATGCGCTCAGCTTAAAATGTCAAAGAGCCAGAAAAATAAACAAGGTGTATTACGTTCTTAGCTCTCCGTTTTAAATTAAAAAATGAGTTCTAACAAAATAATAAAACAATTCTTTGATTTATAAATTTCACATTGGAAAGTATATTTTCAGCCGTTTCCCCATTATTTAGGAATCCCCCTTATTTTTTATCCTCTTGTTTCAGATATACACATATGTATAGAATGAATTACAAACCTTTCCGCCGTGTCCGATTTTTTATGGGATGAATCTCACAATAGATAAGCATATATAATCTTATTTGAGTATTTTACATTTTAAAAGGTAATACTTATAAGATATATCCTTTCAATGTTTTTCCAAGGGTTTTCAAGTGAATAAGTTGAAATATAACTAAAAGGTTATATTTTTATTTCAACAATAAAAAAGAATGGCCCAACTTTTTATTTCTACAGAAATTTTTTTATATAGACTTCTTTTCTTAATATACAGGGTGTCCAGCCTTAATGTGACCCAATAGCTAATTCCCGAACCGTTCGGTTTAGATATGCACTTCCAATTTGAAAAATGTTTTAAAAAAGGTAAAGCATGTTTTTATGTACTCTTTGAAACAAGAAACCCATTTACAAAAAAATTACAAAAATTTATTTTTTTATATGTGGTTTTCAGGTCCTATAATTTATATTTAGAAAAAGATGCAGTACACAAAAACAAAGTAAACACAAAAAGTTTCATTTTATTACGATAAAAACTGGCCGAGTTATGGAACTTTGAAAATCATATATTTTATCCATTTTCTCAGCAATTTTCAAGAAGCTAGTAAGGGGCTGTCTCCAAAGTGAAATTAGTTGGAACTCTGCCGGGAAACTTTCGCTCTTGCACGTCCCTTTTATGTAAATCGTTTATAAATTTAAAGCATACGTTAATAATACAATAATTGAGCACTTAAGAAATAAAAATTTATTCTGTGTACATGTAAAACATAGAAAAAATAAAATATTTTGGACGAAGAAAACATTTCAAAAGCAGTTCCAAAAAATAGACTTATATGCTGCGGCTTCAGTGTGATTTGCTGAGTTTTTGCTGATCACTACGATTGTAAGAAATCTGTTTTGTAGTCGCTTGTAATTGCCTACAGTCGTATTCTAATATTACGAATTCTAGTACGGGATAACGAGATGTATACAAATGAAGAATACTGCGAAATGGTACTGTTTTATGGGCAGTATAATCGAAATAAGAGACAGACGGCAAGACTTTATGCCATTAAATTTCCCACTCAAAGACATCCATCTTATTGTACAATTGCCCGTGCTGTTCAAGGTTCGTATAAAACTGGGAGTTTTCGTAGACGTATTCCTTGTCTCGTGCCACACTCGTGTCTTCACCATTATTTAAGTTAATTTGATCATTCTGATATAATAAAACCCCTGATTCATGATTGGCGCATCATTCCACATTATGCTATAATTTGAATGGCAAATCCTGTATTATTTTGCTGCTATTGGTTAAAACAAGCCGTTTTAATCTTTTCGGTACAAGTTGTATTTCTTTAATTTAATATTTATTGTTCGCCATACAGCAATACAAATTGTCAATGTCGATGTTTTAATATTACTATTATGTTTTTCTTTTGCTCTTTCTGTAGATAGTGAATCACTTCTCTAAACTCAATTTATATACGACCCCCTTTTCTGAGCAATTGAGATGCTTCAACTTTAGGTAGGCATAACTCGGTCAGTTTTTATCGTAATAAAATGAAACTTTTTGTGTTTACTTTGTTTTTGCATACTGCATCTTTTTCTAAATACAAGTGATAGGACCTAAAGATCGTATAAAAATTTAATTTTTGTAATTTTTTTGTACATGGGTTTTTTTGGTTCGAAAAGCATGTAAAAGCATGCTTTACGTTTTTTAAAACATTTTTCAAATTGGAAGTGTATAGCTAAACCGAACGGTTCGGAAATTAGCTATTGGGTCACTTTAAGGCTGGTCACCCTGTATAAAGAGTTGTACTAAAATTTAATTTTTGAAATTCATGACTTCACCCAAAAAACTAAATCTTCTGCATTATAAGCAAAAAAACACAGGATCTCCTTAACTGTGCACCTTAAAAGCTAATTTTCCGATTTCCAATTTATAGATGTTGCCAGATTATACTTGTTTTTTTTGAAAAATCGTTTGGAATAAATTGGAATACTCACAAAAAATGTAAAATAAAGTGCAGTTTTATACTTAATATTTTAAGTCAAGAAAATTTATAAAATTAAAGCGAGGAGAAATTGAAATACTTTACAATGTTCATTTATAAGCTAAGAAATAAAAATCACGTAAGCATTAAAAAAGTATAATAAGTTCATAATTTATAATTTGCATTGCGTTTTTTAATGAGCTACTTATCTGTAACAACCGCCGGTAACAAACCGTAAGTCGAAAGTTTAATTGAGCAGAATAAAATTGTTCGTTTTATTTTGTTTTGTACTGCAGTATAATGATTTCCACTTAGAAAAGCTACCAATTTAAAAAAAAATCTCTTTGGAAGGTTAAATTATGTTTAATTGTTGCCTAAAAACAAATAAAATAAAATTTAGAAAAGTTAGCGACTGCTGCTACGTGTTGTTGAACTTAATTTTCTGTTATTTAGAAGTATTGTGGGACGGCAGGTAATTAAAAAAATAGCAGAAATACAAAAAATATTTTTTAAATACATAATTATACTTGCTGTGAAGATTTTCTGTATTATATATACGTAAGTAAACCAAATACAGAAAAATTAAATTCTGTTACTTAATTCTTTGTCTTTCTCATTTCATTTAGTAAAAAAATTAATAAATCAGCCCCTATTCATGATAAAAGTTTGAATTTTGTGGAAAAAGTTATGCGGCCTTAAAATATTTGCGATAAGATACTTCCGAAGTGAAACTTTTCCCCCGTATTTTTGTGAACTAGGAAAAGATAAGGAACTTTATTTTAAACTTCATTTTCTCCGTTTCTTTTTCCGGCTTTTCTATATTAAAAAAAAAAAAGGTTTTTTTCCCAACATAACAGCAAATCAATTATTTTCTTTTTTTACTGCGGCATCCGTCAGTCTTAATAACCTAAAATAAGGCATTTGAACATCAAGTTGGATAATTCCTAAGGCTTAAAAACTTGAGAAAAAATTGAAGTTTTCAAGTAATTAAACAATTTTCTCTTTTGAATTACTGATTTAAAAATATCTTGTATTTTGAAGAAATATTTTTGGAGAATGTTTGCAGCAACAAGACTATTTATTACGTAATTATTTCCCCCTTTTTTAAAGAAAAGTTTGTTCTAATAAAGAAAAGCTAAGACGTACTAAATACATATATTATTATAACCAACTCTCTGCAATAGTTGGTCAAAATAATGATTGTTATATGCAATTGAAAGGGAGAAGAATAACTGTCTCAAATAGAGCAGAATTTAAAATAAACTTTGAGACAAATACACGAAAAATTCGGGTGTTCAATAACTTTTGAACAAATATCAAAAATATTTTTCATTTAACTATACTTCAGAATTTTAAAAACTTACCATGATATGAAATTTAAAAATTTATAAGAGTCTCTTTCATTTTCACAAAATTATATCCCGTCTTTTAAGCGAATTTATGCAGTTTTTCGTTCCATATTTCGATATCTAATATCAAATATTGGTAAAATTATTTCCCCTATTAAATGTATAATAAAGGAATGCTTACAGATTCTTTTTAATTGCTTTTTTGAATGCATGTTTTTTTTACCGATACAAAACTAGTATGTAAATGCTTTTTAATGCCAGAAATATAACTGTGAAGTTGTTTTACTTTAAAAAAATGATTTTTTGTTGTTAAAGTTAGTTTATTAATAAAATTCGATTAGGTTTGATACTTACGTATTATACCGTCGACCAGTTTCACCAATTCAAAATACATTGCCAAGTGCTGCCATAGTTATTGTATTCAAACATGCGCAGGGATGGTATTCCTCTATTAGTTGGATATCACGCTATTTGGCAATGTCTTTTGATTTGAAGAAACACTTCGACAACATAATACGCAAGTGTCTT